CTTTGCACAGACAAATATTAAAGTAATGAGAAGAAACCTTGGTAAAATTTTACTCTTATAACTTTGTTATGAGAAGATGTAAGGTAAGTTATTTGAATAAATAACTCATCCCTACACATTATAGACTTAGATTCATCCAAATTAACCAGTTTCCATTGGTCTGTTGGTCAGAAGACAGTACACACAATATTTGACCACTAAAATGCCAGTACTACATGGGAGTACACTTTACAACTTGTGAAAATGCTGTAAGTAGGAGAGCAAAAGCTTGACAGACGAACAGACTGTGCACAAAAGGCTGCGGCACGCGTAGCCTATGTGTTTATGTTATAAAAACTCTCCACTGAGGCACAGAGACTTGTATCAGCCATGAAATAAACAAAGATTGTTCTACCAAACATCTGAGTTCCTCTGTGTGTACAGTAATTATGGTAATAAACTCTTGAGCAAGTTTATATTTTCAGACTCATATTTTATTAATATTCTTACTTAGGATTTTTTTTCTCACTCACATTAATATTTAATTCATTATTTTAAATTCAGCATTTCTGATTGCGCAGGGATCAAACAAACATGTCCTTCACACATTTGGATTTGACCGTACGCCACGTTTCAGTAAGAAATCCACGCAAGTCTTTGTACTTGGGGCCCCTGCTGCTTCCGCAACCCGACTATGGATAAGCAGCAGAAGATGGATATGCATTTATAACAGTATGTTTTCTACTCATCACATGTCTCTTTTTTTTTTACTAGGAACCACCACCTGGCTTCAAGGATTTCTTTGGGGTGAGCACATTTATTCTTCAAACACAAACCTAGTTTCAGTCCATTTTTAAAGGGATTATATCATGTAAAATCAACTTTTTGGGGTTTTATATCATGTTATAATGTTAACTTCTTATCAAAACATACCCAGAGTCTTGCTTTGACTCATATAAACATAACATGTAAACAACATTTTAATAACAACTGAAGGTGACATAGTTACTTTATTATGGTATAGAATTTAAATATATGCATGAAAAACACATAATATTGCCCCTTTAAAAGACACTAGTAATTATTGAGGTCTACTACTACTCAAAAATGTTTAAACTATACATTTTCCAGACATTTAAAGTGTATTGTTCTGAATACTTTTTTTGCATATACACTTAGACAAAACCACATATACAACGTGCCCCGCATTGTTTGGTCAATCCTTTATGGCATATAATAATACCAATTTGTGGCTCTCCGTGAGTAGGGAAACTTCTGATTGTGAAATAAAATGAAGCTTGTTCAGGCAATGAAAAAAGTCAGAGATAAAATATTGTTTTTGAAAATAAACAGCAAATCCTACCTCATCCATCACACTTACTTAACCTACTGGTAGGCCGTGCCCCCCACCCCATCTCCACCCCTTCCCTGCTCTGGTAGGTTTAGATAGTGGTCATGTAAAATAAATCTGATAGATTTCAACACTGAAAAACATTCAGACCAATAAATGAGACATGGAGTACTTACACAACATCTCTCTAACCAACCAGTCTACTCAAAGAGCTTAAATACCCAATCTAACCATTTTGTTTTTACAGGTAAAATTTTATGCACAAGGTATATAATTACATAAAGCATTTGTTTTTTGTTTGTTTTTTGTTTGTTTGTTTGTTTGTTTGTTTTTTGTATCTTTTACTTTTGGCGAAGTTAGGCCCCAGATAAATGTCCTACTTATGGCCCCCAAATGTAGGCCAGCCCTGTCACACATACAGACACAGTTTAACCCAAAAAATCAACAACACCTGTCTGCACAAACATTAATAATACCAGGGTTACCTATGTTATAGTTTTAAAATAACACCCTTTTGAATAGAACATTTTATTTATAGCCAAAATCACCTGTTCATTGTCTTTAGTTTTATCACTTTAAGCTTTCACCAGTGATTAGTCACATTGTTACGACTTTTTACAACCTATTGTAAGAGACCACCCTATGAAATTAGGACCAGCCCAATCTCACAAAATAATCCCTCAAGATCTTGCATTATGAAATCCCAGAGCTAATGAAATACCCACTCTGATCATGAATGAGAAATGAAAACTTGTGACCTGAACGTATTTCCAAAATAAAGTAATTTATTTTTAGATATATGAACAGGATTAAACACACAAACATTTATTAAAAATATTATATGAATAAATGAACACAAGTTATATT